TTCTCAGTTTTTATAAACTTTCTTTGCTCTCCCTTATGGAAGAGGAAACTGGTATGTTTAGTTAAGCATCAAATAATTTATAATCCCTAGCAGAACTCCTTGAGAACATAGAGAGTGACATAGCACTGGAAGGCATAAAGGTTTGTTATTTCCCTTCAGAAAAGCTCTTCTGTCATCAGCACAGTAAAATTATATTAAAAACAGCGTGAAGGTGTGGTAAGTCTTTGGGGAGGATTATTACATTTTCTGCTAGTTTTTAACCTCTTTTTTTCTGTCAGAGGGTTATTTTAAATCTTTCTGAGAACCGTATCTTTAATATTTAATTAAAGGGTTAGCTAAAAGGAACATAGTGGGTGGGTTGCTACCACTTCCCTCCAACCTACTTATTATGTGTCTTCTTAAGTGTGCTTTATATAGTTGGAGCAAACATCATTGCTAAAAATCACTTTCTGGCTGTAGGAGGTTCTCTGCATCACTCAGTGTCTTGGAGCTGTAGGAGAGGCAAATGAAAAAATCTAGAGTGCTTTGAAGCTGTAACAGAAGGGAAACAGAGTGTGTGTGATTATAAGCTGCAGCAACAACTCGTGCAAGGAGGAAAGAAGGCAAAGTACACTGCATGAACTAGGGCAGGATGAAGTTCCTGCTGCACCAAAAATAATACTGCTGCTATTAAAGAGACGATGGCTTATGGCAGGAGCAGTCTGTGCTGGGGGCATGCAGGAAAAAGGGGACAGCAGGGAGTGCAGAAGCTTTGTGCTTCTGAGCAGGGAGGGAGGGAGATGGTTTTAAGAGTGGTTAATTAAGAGAACTATAAAGAGAGTTTGCATTTTTAGGGAAAATTATTTAATGTTTTTTGTCTAGCTGTATGCTAGACAGGTTCTACTTGCAACAGACAAGAAAAGCGACAGAGAAATTGGGAAAGGAAAGATGTATGAGGGGAAGGAAAAGAGGAAGACCTGAGAAGAGAAAGAGAGAGAAAGAAAGTATACTCTGGACAAAATATGACTGGGCAAGTAAAACACAAGACAAAAAATAAAAACTGATAATCAAAGGATACTAAAGGGAGACAGAGTCAGAAGAAGTAGTTTAGGTAGGACATACTGCAGGAACTTACTGCAGAGCTGCTTTCAGGTATCTAAGGTCCAATAATATCCTTTTTGTTTGCATCCCAGAAGGTGAGAGCTTCTTCCATATTCTATCCTTCTGGCAGCTGAGGAGGAAGAATGTTAGGATTTGGAGCTGTGTTGTGGAACACAAGTCAGATTGTCATATAAACCCAAGTGTCATTCCCAGATTGTAAATTCCAGGAGACCAAAATGAAAGCAGATTGGACAGTCATCTGCTTGGTCAAAGTTCCTCAAAATCAAAGAAGTGGGAGGATTTATTTTGCAGACAGCAAACCTCAATATTCCCCATTTATCCAATCAAAAATTTCCTTAGGATTTATTGTAAAATTAGCAGTCAGCACAGGTCCTTCAGCTCTCATTAGACTCATTTTATCAGGAACATTATTTTCCATCTGCTGTCCCCAGAACAGATGATTAATTTGAAACTATCATCTGGGGAAGTGTGAAGCTGTATTGGGAAGTTACTTTCTGGCTTCTTTAGAATATATCCCTTTGGAGGATCTTCTTTGAGTCTGAAAAAGCTATTTGAATGAATACAGGCATTGAGAAAAGCAAGCTCATGATAAAGGAAGAAAGCTGTCTCTGAATACCTAAGTGCTGAAAGATTTCCATAAAGAACAGAATTGAGGATTTATATGGGAATGTATTAGTGTCATTAGAAATCGGTCCTAAGAATTCAACAATCAAAACCTTAGCAGTCAAAGACCTCTTAAATTTATGTTTTTTTTCTGTCACAAACACAGTGTCTCCTTCATTCTAGCCTGAACTTCAGTCCTGAGCCCAGAGAAACATTATGGGTATGGTCTGTTTGGTGCTGTGATACTGTATTATGTTAAAAAAGAGACTTGTTTCAATATCGTTGTTGAAAACAGTGCATAAAATCCTAAAATGAAACTTGTTTAGTGAACAGCAGGGTTGGAACAAAGCCTTTCTAGTATGACAAATACATGTGATATGACAATGTAACATATATATTTATACTTTTAGAAAACTCAGACACTGAGTCACAACTGCCAAGCATTGGTGTGATGGCCAGTACTCTGATGTGCATGCACTTTCCATTCCACAGGAAATTGCAGTAGAAATAGCTTCTTGATAGGCTTACTGTACAGAGAAAAATAATGTATAATTAACTAGCTTTGGGATTTAAATAATTAAATGGGTTTTCTTCTCCACTTTTTTTATTTTCCCCAAGATTTTCAGGCACCCACATGGAGCCACACTGGCAGTATGATCAGCATGGTAATTTACATGACTCCGGTGAGGTCACTGATTATGAACACACTTTTGTTGGAGAAGTTTTTAGAGGATAACTGACTTCCAGCTGAATGCCTAGGTGTGGAGCTTGGCAGATGCACTGAGGATTTACTTGTCAGTGTTACGTAGGCAGATGTGATGCATGCGTAGGCATCCCAAAGCTTAGCTGAAATTGTGGGGAAACATTTGCATAGAGTCAGTGTGAAAAGTTTGTCTCTTCCATGCAGGACATAACTTCTGGCAAAGTTCCTCTGAAACTGTGCTGTGATCTATACAATGGAATTAAGTAGGCCAACCTGCTGGCACAGTACAATGTACCAGTTATGTTTTCCCTCCCTGACAAACACCAACTCAAATAGTCTGCTACAGACAACACGTTTCAGAAGACAACAATTAGTAGCAATGCTGAAGTAAAACTCCTGGATATTATCTCCTCCAGCCTTCCCAGTGCATTCCTGAGGGGAAGATGTAGCCCTGATCTAAGTGAACAAGAGAGACAGAGGGGGCTGTGTACATGCAGTGAGACCATGCCCTGCCCTACAAAGTGCCAGCTGTGAGATGAGGGGGACACCAAGCCTCTGAGCTTACCTAGACAATGTGCACCCCCTCTTGATGTCAAATACTGACCTTGCAAATACTTCACAAACATGCATATTACTTGGATTGAATCCAAGGGTTTGGTATGCCTCTGACCCAAGTTCCTGCTTGCAGAGCATATGGGTTACTAAATATACACTGTGGGTTTTCATAAAGTTAGCAACACAGTTAGTTTTGCTTTACTGGCTCTGAAGAATAAAGTGGCTGTCAAACTAGGTCTGAGCACAAATAGGTTGGAAGTGAGTCACCTGCTGTTATGAGAACAGTTGCACTGTAGGGGTGGTTTCATCCTTAAAGGGTGGAGGTGAGGTATTGAGATAGTCACCAGTAGGACATTGCAAGAAGTAAAAAGACAGCCTGCCTATGTCACATGTGTGTTCCACATTACTGACTGCTTAATTGCATCTTCTTATGTGTACATTGTTCTGCTTTGTAAATTTTAGCCCCTTCAAAGTTTTACTCATATGCTAAGGAAATATTAAGCAAGTCATGTAAATTTGCATTAAAAGCCTTCATTTCAATCTGGAAGCATGCAAATGCCATGCTGATGTCTGTCAAATTTCACCAGGAGCTTCCTCACACAAGTCATGAACAAATCAGTGATGTCGGTAGTTAATACAAGAATAGAACCCCTGGAATTTGGATGTTTGGCTGTCTTTTCACTGATTGCTTTGTCTTTTGGTTTGACTGACTGCAGACAAGAACGTCAAGCTAACAGCAGTGGAACTGTCATAGCATTTGTTTATTTATAACAGTTCCTTTAGTTCATGCTGCTAAATAAGATGGCAATAAATATTCATTGCAGTTGTGCTTCACCAAACAGAAATTCAAAGATAACTCCTCCTCTGAAAACTTTGCATTTTATACTCAGTGTTTGCGACCACACATAGCATTCGTTATCTGTTGCTGTTAAATATTCCTGTATTTTCTCATTTAGTGACCTCCTGTGTTTTAAATTATTTGTGGTTCTTTAACAGAAATATGTGAAGTATATTACAGGTCCTCTTGGCAAAAATCAGTGAAATGTAACTGAAACAATTCTAGTTGCCTGGGTGATTTAGAAGCATACTTCACTTGCCATTTGCATTAGCAAGATCTGCAGGCTTTTACTAAATATTCCTCAGCAAAACCAAGACTTCTATTTCAGCAAAAAATCCATTCTGGTATGGATTAGCATGTGTCTCAGGAATGAAAGCAGACCATCTTTACAAGAAATTTAAACCATTTATGCCAGGATCATTTAGTTCTTGAAAATGCATGGTAACAATACAACATAGGTAATACCTTGTGGGTACTCAGGAGCCCACTGGGCCCGAGATCCTGGCTCTTCCCTGGAGAGGAGATACCTCTCTGTAAGAGAGACACAATGTGTCGCTCCCAGGGGTCTTTGAGTTAGATATGTTAAACTGTTGTGTTTCATTGGTGTTCTCCCCTGCTGTCCCACCCCAATACATGTATCTCAGGCTTCCCCCCGCCCCTCTCCTTCTCCATAAATACCCTGGCTTTTCCCCTGTTTGGGAGATTCGCTGTTACCGGCACCCTTCGCCGAAGCTCTGCCTGAATAAAGGCTTGTGCCTCGGTGGAATGCTGGACCAGCTTTCTCGTCCCTGCTTCCTGTGTTGCCTGCCTGCCGCCGCTGCCGAGCCGAGCCGAGCTGAGCTGAGCTGAAATCACTACTACTACTGAGCTGAGCTGGAATCACTCGACCGCTCGAAGCTGCTCATGCGCTTCGGGCCGGCCCTTCTCAGGGCTGTTTCTCTAGAGAAGTCGTGGTGCTCCGGGCTTTCCGTCACCGAGGCAACTGGCGACCCAAACGTGGGGCCTTTGAAGAAGCCCCGAAGAAGCGTCCGCTCGCAGTTTTAGCTGCGAAGCAAGCCGCCGTTTGAGCCGTCGCCCCTCGAGGAAGCTTCCTTGTGTTCTAGCAAGAAGCGATCCAAGAGGCTGCGACCGGGACCCTCGTCTGACCATCTCGGGCAAGGAAAGCCCCTGAGGACCGGCCCCCAGGTGACCACCCACCCAGCAGCTTTTTTTTCGCCCGCCGGCATCTGCCGAAGAGAAATTGTAAGTGTATCCCGTGAAAGGGTTTTTTTTCGGGCTTTTTTTTCTTTTTTTCTTTGCTGTTTTACTGCTGGGTGGGGAGGGAAAAAGGATGGGGAATGAGTCCTCTGTACGGAGACTGACCCCACCTGAGAGGGACTTTTATATCCAAGTTGTAGCTACCCTAAAAGCGGGAAATTTTAAGTTTTCTAAAGGGGATTTAAAAAGATTTATTCATTGGGTTTTTAAACATTTTAAGATTAATTCGGACTCTGCTAAATCAGGAATTTTTTGGGATAATGTGGGAAGAAAGTTATATACAGTTCAAGCTAAAGGGGATTTTTCTGTTGCAAAATTTCTTCCTGTGTTTCAAAATATTATTTTCTCATTGGAAAAAGAGGGAAAAAAAGAAGAGGGAGTTTTGGGTTCCCAGTTAAACCCCTCAACCCCGTCAGCCCCTCCAGGTGTCCCTGAACCCCTTTCCCTATCTGAGAGTCAGTCGGGGGGTGGACATTGCCCCCAGGCACAGAGCTGCTGCCGTCTCTCTGACACCCCCCTACCGTCTCTCTACCCGTACCAGGGCAGCAGTGGCCATGCTGCTCTGGGTCTTTCCTCTACCCTCTCCCCTATGCCCTCACACCCGGTTGTGTCCCCCCCAGTTCCTAGCGTTAGCACAGGTGGCGCCAGCAGTGTGGCCAGCCCCGCCATTTTGTCCCACTCCCACCCCTGTTTTCCCGCCCTCGATGCCCAAAATGGCCACTTTCTCGCCTTCACCCCTTCTCTTCCTGCCCCGTCCTGTTCCTCCTCCCCCCCCACTGCGTCGTTGGGTGTAACCGCGTTGGGCCCTGCCCCATCCATCAGGAAATCCCTCCCCGTTGCGGACCCCGGTCCTGTCCCTTTGTGCCGGGGCCCCGCCCCCAGCAGCGCACCCACTCCAGGGACCCAGTGCCCCGGAGGTCGGGACTGCTCCGGCTGGAGCGGGGCCACCCCAGCTTTCCCACCCAGCCACAAAAGGGCCAGCTCTAGGCACCCGAGCCGGCCCCGCGCTGCTAGCAAGCGCCCCCCATCTCCACTGGGAGATGAGAGCAGTGAATCTTCTTATTCAGACTCTGAATATGAAGACCCCTGGGCTGAGGTGCAGAGGGAAGCCACACGGGCAGGGAACTCAGCTCTGTCCTGGAAAATACTTGCCTTTCCTGCAATAATGAAGACAGGACAGGGGCACAGGTTGCTGCATGGGAGTCCCTTCACTATAGGGAACTGCAGGAACTTTGCAAAGCTGCCGAAGAACATGGCAGGGGTTCACATTTTTTTAAACACTTGCTAGAAGCCTCCTTCTCTGCCCATGTCATGGTCCCGCATGACATCAAAAATATTATGAACTGCCTTCTCTCTCCAGCAGAGTACATGTTGTGGGAGAGGCAGTGGAAGAAACATTTAAAGCAATTGGCAGATGTTTATGCAAAAGATGCTAACAGACCTAATTTTACTTTAGAGCAATTAGCAGGAGAAGGAGATTTCCAAAAGCCCCGAGATCAGGCCCGGGACCTGCCTGAAGCAGCTTTACAGGATATAGCTAATGCTGCTAAGATATCTCTTTTTACCACCCCTGATGATAAAGTGCCAACACAGTGCTTCACCAATATTAAGCAAGGGGCAACTGAGTCTTTCATTAAGTATATTGATAAGTTAAAAGTGGCCATTGAAAAGCAGATAGAGAGCCCTCAGGCGCAAAAGGAATTATTAGTAAAAATAGCAATGGCCAATGCTAACCCGGAGTGCAAAGCAGTTTTGTGAGCCCTCCCTCTGGACCCAGAACCAACCATAGATCAGATGGTTGAAGCTTGCACCAAACACTCCTCTGCCTCAAGTGAGAATACTGTGGCACTTGCAGTGGCTAAAGGAGTGGCAGAGGCGATATCTGGAGCTTATGCTGCAGACTCCAATAGAAATTGTTGTTTTAATTGTGGTGAGCCTGGGCATTTTTTCAAAGACTGTCCAGAGAGACATTCTATACAACCTCCAGCCCCCCAACGGTTCCCCAGACAGAACTGGCATTCGGGAAACTTCAAGCAGAGCGCGGAACGGCCTCGCGCTTCAACATCAAATCAAATGCCGCACCGCTCCACCCCTCCTGCCAAACCCACCATCCTGCCTCCACGGGGACCCCAATATTAAGCCCAGCAGGTGGAGCGCTTCAGATGGGAACCCGGCGTCAACTGGTAACTAGACTCTCTTTACATATGAAGGGTGACTGTATTTACAAAATCCCCACAGGGAAACGTGGACCACCAGGCGGTCCCTCTAACATCTTAATACTTGGGGATCCTACCAACTGTCCAGGGCAAATTCATACTGTTCCTGAGGTCCAGACTCTATACCCTGGAGATGAAATTTCCATCTCTCTGACCTGCATAGACCCTCCTTATTATTTAAAGGAACAGACTCCTGTGGCACAGGCCTTTTTACTTCCTAGTGACTGCCCAGATCATGTTCCCCTCAACCCCAGCGCTATGTGGACTCAGGTTGTGGGCTCCTGCAAACCTATTGTGGACTGCAGCCTATTTTGTTATGGAGAAAGGATTCAGCGCCCAGGAATGCTAGACACTGGAGCAGATGTTACCATCATCGCCCGCTCCGAGTGGCCAGACAATTGGGAATTGCAGCCTGTAGCAGGCATGATTTCAGGAATTGGAGGGATGACAGCCTCCATGAGGAGCAAACGGAATATTGTCATCGAAGGACCTGAGGGACAAATGGCAACCATCAGGCCATTTGTGGTGAGAGCACCAATCACCCTCTGGGGACGGGATCTCCTGTCCCAATGGGGGGCTTCTCTGCGGATTCCCAGCAGGGATTTTTAGTGGGGGTCACTGAGAAGCGCGCCATGCCTACCATCCCCCAACTCACCTGGAAACAGCACCATCCAGTGTGGGTTGATCAGTGGCCCCTATCTGAGACCAAACTGCGCGCACTGGAAGCCCTTGTGGAAGAGCAGCTTGCCAAGGGCCACATCACTGAGTCCAACAGTCCTTGGAACTCCCCTGTCTTTGTCCTATACAAACCAGGCAAAGACAGGTGGAGACTCCTTCAGGACCTCCGGAAGATCAACGATGTCATTGAGGATATGGGACCCCTCCAGCCTGGCATGCCTTCCCCTTCAATACTCCCCCGGGATTGGAAGCTGGCAGTCATTGACATAAAGGACTGTTTTTTCAACATACCCCTCCATCCTCAGGACGCCCCCAGATTTGCATTCTCGGTTCCCTTTCCAAACAGACAAGCACCTTTAAAAAGATACCATTGGCTGGTCCTTCCTCAGGGGATGAAAAATTCTCCTACCATCTGCCAGTGGTATGTGGCCCACATCCTGTCACCTGTGAGGACCCTGTTCCCAGATGCTGTCATCCTCCACTACATGGATGACATCCTGGTTTGTGCTGCTGACGATGACTATCTGCACCGGTCTTTACAAAAAACTATCCAGATAATTGAGGACGCTTGATTTGAGATCTGTGAGGACAAGATCCAGCACACCTGCCCTTCGACCTACCTGGGACTCCGGATCTGTGAACGGACCATCGTGCCCCAGCAGCTGACCATCAAAGACAACCCCAAGACCCTGCGTGACCTACATCAGCTCTGCAGGTCCATCAACTGGATACGCCCTCTGCTTGGGGTAACAACAGAAGTCCTTGCAGCGCTCTTCAACCTGCTCCGTGGCAGCGAGGTCCTCGACTCACCACGCTCCCTCACGCCGGAGGCCCGGGAATCCATCACCAAGGTCCAGGAGGCCCTGTCTTCACGGCAAGCCCACCGCTATGAGCCCAGCCTGCCCTTCCAGCTGGTTATCCTGGGTAAGGCCCTGCGCTTACACGCACTCATTTTTCAATGGGACATGGCATGACATCTCCTTATCATCAAGTGGATCTTTACACATAACCAGCCCACTAAGACTATTACTGCTCCGCAGGAAATCATAGCTGAACTCATTAAAAGAGCTAGAGTCCGTCTCCGTACTCTTGCAGCCTGTGAGTTCTCCTGCATCTTCCTCCCATTGGCAACTGGAAGTTTGGAGCCTTTGCTCCAAACCAATGAGAGCCTTCAGTTTGCTCTCGATAGCTATTCAGGCCAAATTTCTATACACCCACCTGGCCACGGACTTTTCAAAACCACATTTAATTTGGTCCCCAAATCATTACAGAGCAAAACACCGCTCCAGGCCCTGACAGTTTTCACAGATGGCTCAGGGAAATCCCACAAGTCAGTCGTGACTTGGAAGGACCCCAGGACACAGAAATGGGAGTCTGATGTCCAACTGGTTGAGGGATCACCACAGATTGCTGAATTAGCAGCTGTTGTCAGAGCTTTTGAGAAATTCCAAGAACCTTTCAATCTGGTGACTGATTCGGCTTATGTGGCTGGAATAGCTATGAGAGCAGAACATGCATTTCTAAAAGAGGTCACTAACCCAAATTTATACAAATTGCTTTCTGAATTAGTATATCTTATCTCTCACAGAAAGCAACCTTACTATGTCATGCATGTGAGGGCGCACACAGACCTCCCAGGTGCCATTGCTGAAGGAAACAGGAGGGCAGACGCCTTAGCCATACCTGCTGAGGCAGCCAATGTCCCTGACATTTTCGCACAAGCAAAATTGTCCCACCAGTTCTTCCACCAAAACGTGCCTGCACTGATGAGAATGTTCAGGCTACCCAGAGACCAGGCTAGAGCAACAGTTGCCACCTGTCCTAATTGCCAATCTTTCCAAGTACCGGTCGTTAACTCCAGGGTTAACCCCCGAGGACTGAACAGCTGCCAGATATGGCAAACTGATGTCACTCACATCCCATCCTTCAGGAGAGTCAAATATGTACATGTCTCTGTAGACACCTTCTCTGGTGCAGTGTTTGCCTCAGCCCATGCAGGAGAAAATGCCAAGCACACCATCCGACATTTTCTCCTTGCTTTTGCTACCCTGGGAGTCCCAGAACAAATTAAAACAGACAATGGACCTGCTTACACCTCTCACAAATTAAGAGACTTTTACAATGAGTGGGGGGTGAAACACACCACGGGCATTCCTCATTCTCCTACAGGGCAATCAATAGTAGAGAGAACCTACCAAAACCTAAAGAGAGTCCTTGATCACCAGCGGGGAGGAACAGAAATCATTCCCCCCATTGAGAGGCTCTGTAAGGCTCTATATGTCATGAACTTTCTAAATTGCTCGCCTACAGAGCCTGACCCCCCTGTAATACAGCACTTCTCTAATTCAACTCATGCCAAACTCACAGAAAAGCCACCGGTGCTGATCAAGGATCCTGAATCACAACTGACATCAGGACCTTTCCCACTGATTACCTGGGGGAGACGGTACGCATGTGTATCCACACCATCAGGACCTAAGTGGCTCCCAGGGAAAAATGTGAAACCTTATTTAGGCCCTACAAACCCTGCACCAGATTCAGAACTTTCAAAGTCTCCTGAGACCCACACAGGTCCAGAAAAACAGCAGTCCACTGCAGCCTGGAAACGGAGACGTCGTCAGAGTCCACCGAACCGACCTGCCACCAGACCAACAACCAGACAGAGGCCAAACTGTCCTGCTACCAGGGCCGCAACGAGACGACTACCAGCGTCACGCCTGACACCATGACACCAGTACACAAGTCTTCTTAACTCCCTCCCCCTTCCCCTTCTTGCCCTCGTTGCCTAGCCCAAATTGTTAGTTTGCACCAAAGTGCACCTCTGTGCTGCTGCTGGTGTCGGGTCATGTGTCCCCAATACACAGAATAACCTCGCTTATAATTGCTTCGGTTTTTTTTTTGTTTTCTTGGTTTTTTTTTAAAGAGGAGGGAGACAGGAGAGGAAAGGGAGAAAGAAAATAGCTCCCCCCCCTCCAAAAATCAGAGCTAATCTTTTATGTCCTGTTATATAAAATGGAGAGCAAAACCATCCTTGAGTTCCTGATGTTCCTGATTATCTGGATGCTCCTGAAAACATCAGCTATGGATGCCTGGCTAGTAGCACAGCCCCAGGAGAACATGTGGATCACCCTCACAAAGACGCTCCAACAAGAACACATGTGCTTGTCCATGGGCAGTGCCACCAACCCTCTGTCATCCTGCCTGGTAGGGATTCCTTTGAAGCCCCATGAATATCCTTTCACAGGGAAAGAACCCAACCCAGTAGACACTTGGGACGAGTGGACAAAGATCTTGCCCCATGCACCAGAGGAACCCCAGGAATTAGAGCTTTTGGGATCCTCCAAAGCTACCTATTGCATAAATTTTAATTATCACCCAGTAACCAATGCATGGCCTGCCTCGAAATACCAAAAGGCAATTAAATCAAGGAAAAATGTGACTCCCAACAGTAAAATTTACAGTCAGTCCAAATGGTGCAATTACACCAGCAGCACACGATCCACCTCCTCTCTCTATCCCAGAGTGCTGCCCCGGGGAGTGTTCTTGATCTGTGGGGATAGAGTGTGGGCAGGAATCCCTTCCCGACTCCGGGGAGGTCCTTGCACGCTTGGACAGCTTACCATCCTCACTCCAAATTCAACTCTAATACATGATTGGCTGAAAAAGAATGAATTGGCCCGCCAAAAGAAAGATCTCGCCCAATTAGATGAAAATTGCAATAGCCAAATTAAAGATCGGTCCTACACAAAGAGGGTGGTGATGTCAGCATTTTTGCTGTGGGCAGCTGCTGCTAGAGCCCTTGGTGAGCCTTCTCACCTGGAGTGTTGGCTTGGTAAGCAGGCCATCTGGACCTCCTCTGTCCTGAGTGACCTCCTGACAGATGAAGAGACTGTTAGGCATGCCACGCTACAAAACCGAGCTGCCATAGACTTTCTGCTCCTGGCCCATGGACACGGCTGTGAGGAATCAGATGGTTTGTGCTGCTTTAACCTCTCCAGCCCCAGTGAAGGCATCCACGCCCGCATCCAGAGACTCCAACATGCAGTCCAAAAACTCCAGACTGAAAAGGAACCCCAGTGGCTTGAAGAACTTTTTGTGATCTGGGGACTCAAGAGATGGGTTGCCTCTGTCCTCAAGAACATTTTTTTGGTTTTCTTGATTGTTATTATCTTCCTAAGTATGTTTTCATGTTTTAAGAAGCTATCAGCTAACTCTCTAGGAGATGCCTTTTTAATAAGTAAAGAAGGGGGAGTTGTGTGTACAGAGGAGCCCGCTGGGCCCGAGATCCTGGCTCTTCCCTGGAGAGGAGATACTTCTCTGTAAGAGAGACACAATGTGTCGCTCCCAGGGGTCTTTGAGTTAGATATGTTAAACTGTTGTGTTTCATTGGTGTTCTCCCCTGCTGTCCCACCCCAATACATGTATCTCGGGCTTCCCCCCTCCCCTCTCCTTCTCCATAAATACCCTGGCTTTTCCCCTGTTTGGGAGATTCGCTGTTACCGGCACCCTTCGCCGAAGCTCTGCCTGAATAAAGGCTTGTGCCTCGGTGGAATGCTGGACCAGCTTTCTCGTCCCTGCTTCCTGTGTTGCCTGCCTGCCGCCGCTGCCTAGCCGAGCCGAGCTGAGCTGAAATCACTACTACTACTGAGCTGAGCTGGAATCACTCGACCGCTCGAAGCTGCTCACGCGCTTCGGGCCGGCCCTTCTCAGGGCTGTTTCTCTAGAGAAGTCGCGGTGCTCCGGGCTTTCCGTCACCGAGGCAACACCTTATACTGGATGAGGTTTTATATATTTGATTGTTATATAAATATACTTTTGCAATGTATTAATAGAATTTATGATAATCCAAACTGAGAGGAGTGATTGATATCCTCGAAGGCGGAGCTCACATTCAGAAAGACCTGGAGAAGCTGAAGGAATAGGCCAACAGGAACTTTATTAAGTTTGACAGTGACAGGCATCAGACTCTGTATTCAAATGGAGCCAATCAACTGACCAGGACAGGCTGGGGCTGTCTGGCAACACTGCAGGAAAGAACTTGAAGTCCCGGGAAGACACAATTTACAAGGGATCAGCACTGCACCCCTATCTCAAGGTCTCAAGGAAGACCAGCCACACACTGGGCTGTACTGGCAAAGGCATTTCCAGCTGGTCAAGGAGCATGATTCTTTTCCTCAGTTGTGAGTTGACATCTGAAGTACTATGTCCAGTTTTGGACCCCCAGAACATGGCACATTTTGACAAATTGAAGGGGCACCAAGAGGATTCAGGGTCTGGAGCCTGTGATGTGCAGGAGGAGGATGAGAGAGCAGCTTCTTCTTAGACTGCAAAGAGAAGGCTGGGAGAGGGGGCTGACAGCAGTCTTGCACTACCTGGAAAGGGATTACAGAGAATATGCATGAAGCCACTTCTCTGAGGTGAACAAAGAGAAAGAGGTAGTAGATGCAAATTGCAGGAAGCAAGGTCCCATCTTGATGAAGGAAAGAATGTTTTCCAACCATGCAAGCAGGCAAACACTAGAGTAGGTTGCCCAGAAATAGTGGAATCTCCACTGTGGGAGATTTTTGGGACTCAGCTGCATAGTGCCCTGAATAACCTGATCCATGCTTGAAGCAGACCATTTTTGACCAGAGATCTCCATAGGTCTTTTCCAAACTTAATGTTTCCATGATTCTGTTATATTATGTGTATTATAAAATTCTGCTCTTCAGAGATATTGGAAGAACAAAATTTTGTAGCTAAAAATATGACTGATTCATAAAGCCGCTAATCTCCAGAAAGTATAAAGTATCCCTTTCCAAGCACCCTGTGCTCTAACTTCACTGCATGGATGTTGAAGTATGAAGTTGTACAAACAGCTGCTGAAGGTGTCAGTAATTCACACTAAAATTCTTGCATACCTACACCAGCTATGACTCCACTGTTACAAATATTTTCCATGTAAACGGGTGTTTTGAGAGAACTTTTAATTCTGCTTTCCCTGAAGAACTTCAAGCTTAGCAGGTTTGTCATGTTGTTTTCCTGCAATGCAGGATTGAAAAATACTTCCGTCAATAGAAGTCATGGAAAGCAAACCTGGAGCTTACAGAGGGGATCTTCTGCAAGAAAAATATTTAAATTACAGAAAGCAAGCTACCTCAGTTGAAGTTGTGTCACAGTGCAAGTGTTTCATGATTGCTAAGGTGAGCTATCATCCTTGAGCTCTTAGAGCCAAAGCTTCTGTTCTCAATAATACTATAGTTTTACCTCCTCTAAACATTTTGCAAATTAACATTTGAGGAGAAAAGAATTTTGGTGACATTTCTGATAGGGACTTCCTCCTGTAATATGTCATATCATAGAATCATAGAATGTGCTGAGTTAGAAGGGACCCACCAGGATCATCAAGTCCAACTTTTGGCCCATGGGACAGGCAAAGAGTCACACCATGTGCCTGAGAGTGTTGTCCAAAGACTGCTTGAACTCTGTCAAGCTTTATGTTGTTACTGCTTCCCTTGGGAGCCTGTTCCAGGGCCTGACCACCCTCTGGGTAAAGAGCATTTTCCTAACATCTAACCTAAACCTGCCCTGACACAACTTTGAGCCATCGTGTCCAATTCTGTCACTGGTCACCACAGAGATCAGTGCCTGACCCTCATCTTCCTCTCACAAGGAAGTTGTAACTGAAGTGAGGTCACCACTTGGTCTCTTCTTCTTCAGACTGGACAGACCAAGTGACCTCAGCTGCTCCTCATAGGGCTTCCCCTTGAAGCCCTTCACCATTTTTGTTGCTCTCCTTGGATGCTCCTAATAGTTTAATGTCCTTCTTACATTGTGGTACCCAAAACTGCACACAGCACTTGAGGTGAGGCCACCCCAGACCAGAGCACAGCAGGACAATCCCCTCCCTTGCCCTGCTGGTGATGCTGCACCTGATGCCCCCCAGGGTGTGGTTGGTGCTCCTGGCTGCCAGGGGCACTGCTGACTCATGTTCAACCATTTCATCAACCAGGACCCCCAGGCACCTTTCTGTAGCACTGCTTTCCAGCATGTCATTCCCCAGTCTGTACCTACATCCAGAATAGCCCCATCCCAGGTTCAGAATCCAACACTTGACCTTGTTAAAATTCATACAGTTGGTGATTGCCCATCTCTGTAATTTTTTGAGGTGTCTCTGCAGTGCCTCTCTGCCCATGAGGAAGTTCCTCCCAGTTTAGTGTCATTTGCAAACTTAGTATTTCTTCAAGTCCTGCATCCAAGTCATGTCACAGTACAGTTCTGCTTTGCATTTGCCGTCCACATTCTGCTGCACAACAGATCCCAATTTGGTCAATACATGTACTTCCTCTGTCCACCTCATAGGGTCAAAGGCCCTACAGGCAATATGAGGTCCTGGATTTACCTTTCCTTCCCTGCTCCCTCCTATGCTTTACATCACTGCACTTGAATACAAAAGCCTTCTCTGATTTCACTTATTTTGACCCCATTTCTAAGATAAAGTTCTGTTGTCAAGTACCCTGAGCACTTGGAAAAACAAAGGGACGGAACAAAGGGCTCATGTGTTCCAAGTGAGTTGCCCTAGAGCACAGCTGGTAATTCAAGTATTCTCTAGTTGCCACAGTGAATAGTGCTGTGATTCAGCTCCCTTATCCTCTGCATCCTGCAAAATGGAGTCATACTGTAAGTGCCGTCAGTCAGAATGTTAAGCACTGCAAGAGCAGTTTTGCTGCTCTCTTTGTGAGCACAAGTAGTACCCAGACTTTACAGGGCTCT